AATTCCTACATCATTGTAAAGAGGCAAGTAATTCTCTGAACCATCCAATTACTAATTTCTTAAAAAAGAAATAGAATTGATCTCTTTGGAAAATTAATTAATTGCTCCCATTTTCTCTTAATTAAAACTTGCAAATTACTGCCACATCTATTTGGGTTACTGCTGGATTCAGCCAGACCAGAAATAACTATTGGTCCTAGGGATACATTATTTTACATTTACTCATTTAACAATTAGGTTAAATGATAAGTACTTGCTATATGTTAAATTTTTAATTAATATCTATTGAGTCTATATACATTAAACACTGTGCTATGTTCTGTAAACGACACAAGACACTCTCCATATAGAACTAGTACTCTTTCAATCATATTTTTCAATTTATACTTATACCCTAAGACTTATTTAGTGCTCTTCTATAAGTTAGAACTTTGTCGTTCTCTTCCCTGGTATTAAATGCTTATTTAAAATATCTATCTTTAGTGTTAATGGTAATGCAGTATTGTGGACACATTGGTTGGTATTAGCATCTGTTGTCTCTCTCTGATGTGCACAATTTGGTGTTCGCCCATTCCCTAATGTTATCATGGTGGTCACAGATCCACAATACTGCATTACCATTAACACCAAACACCAGGCTACAGGTAAACACATAAACACCTGAGAGGATCAGAAGGGGGTCAGTGAACAGGAGTATACACTAGACTAAGGATAGATTCAGCTGAGCCTAATCTTGCACAGATACCAGTGATACAAAATACCTGCAGTCCTTACAGAAATAATAGAAGACAGACACAGAGTAATCCCTCACAGACACTCAGACACTATGAGAGAGAGATCCAACAGATCTACTGTCTCAAGGCCATCGTACTGGGGGACACCAGACTCAATTGGCACAACAAAATACATAAAAGCCTTGTTCCACATTCTAAATTGGTGAGTAGCATCTGGGGTCTTAAAAGCTTTCAAGCGGCCATCTAAGATGCAGCTAATGGTCTCCTAGCATCGGCAGCAAAGAAGAATGCAAAAAAAAAGGGGGAGGCATTTGGAAGCAATCAGCCGTAGGACATGATGGCCCTCAAGACCAGAAGAACTAGATGGTGTCCAGCTACCAATGCCAACCACTCAGGAGATGATCAAATCTGGAGATCCTGGATAGAGTGGGAGGGAAAACATGGAACAAAATCCAAACACTCAATAATGACCAGAATTATTGGTCAGATGAAATCTGATGAGACCCCTAATACTATGGCCCTGGGATACATTCTGGGCCTGGAATAAAACTCACTCCGAGGGGCTGGCTCTCAGCCCAACAGTTAACAAGATGTACATGCAGACCACTCAACCTAGGGTGATGCACCCACATACTCTATGGAAATGCATCCCTTAGAGCAACAGACCATGGGGCACCAGAGGACCAACATTCAAATTGAGGAAATAGAGGAAAAACAGGACTGTGAGGGGCACAAGGGAGGGTTACCAGGTAGGGAGGGGAGGAGACTGGGTTAGGGTTGGACATGGTAAATGAGGAGTGAAACTAAATGTACATGTAACAGTGAATGTAAAACAAGCTCTTAAAATAAAATATCTATCTTTATATATGCTTTTTTATATATTTACAATTTTTTACAGTGTTAGAATGAAGAGTATATATAAAGTCAGCACAAATATCAGACATTTCCAAAACTAAAGAGAGAATGATTAGATTTTCTACATTTATTCTGCATTTTGTACAGTTATTCTATTAGGCAAACTTAAAAGTACAGTTTAAAATACTTACTCATCTATTTGACAAACACACATCTCCAACTCTTTGAGTGCAGTCTGAAGTTTTCCCAACAGTTTCTGATAGATATCTTGAGTTTCTAAGTCTTCTTCCTTTAATAGATACCGGAGACCATGCCCATCTTGCTGTCCCAGAGACAGACCAGAAGGGGCCGCCATGGTAGTAATCGTATGCTGAATGTACACCATAGGGCTCAGTTTCCCTGAGGAGTTAAAACCATTCCAAAGTAACATTTACTACCTTTAACTTACAGTAACAATTCAGTCCAATTCATTTTGGAGGCTCAAGCTAATATAAAATAAAATTCCTATCCAATACTAAATTTAATTTAGGAATTAAAGCTTGTGGGGAGTTGTAATTAAAATCTAGGAATGTATTCCAATCCATTTTCCTATTATGGTGACAATGAATTGTATTATAATTCCTATAGTTTCTACTTCTACATTTTTCTCAGTCATAAGGCCATTTCAGATTAGTGGTTTTCATAGAAAGACAAAGTATGTCTACCATATACTTAAGGAAGACAAGAGCAACCATTCTTCTTAGAAGAAAAATAAAAATGCTTAACCACATTTTCATTCTATAAACACTTATGCTAATTATCTAAATGGTTATAGTGAGAAACCTTTTTTAAAAAAATTTTCCAACTTGCTTTCACACCAGGAGTCTATCAAATTTCAGGGATGCTGTAATAATTATGATTGCATAAATTCTTATGATTTGATAAAGTTTAAAAATTTAACATACCTTGCTCAGAAGATTTATTTTCTTTATCATGAGAATTATGCTTCCTACTGTCCAACTGAACACCAAATGCACTCCCCAGGGAGGTTGATGTTTTGGGATAAGAAACTTCCATTACATTAACATGGCAGTTGGTAGGGCAGAAATCACTGCTGTGCAAAGGGGAGATTTTTGATTTGGCCTGTTTAAAGGTGGGCCAGGCTCTATTCTTTAGTACACGAGAAAACTGTACATCAAAGAAAAGAATAAATGCAATTGAACACACAGTAATAAGGCAAACATTTTCACTGCATCATATATAGCAAAATCACAAGAAAATTAAATCATGTCAACTGGAACAAGTGAAACAAATTATAAGTTGCTGGAAATTAAATCGTTATTTCAAAACCCAAATATTGTTAATACAACAGAGCAATATCTGCAGCAAATGCACATGATCCCCTTAAAACTAGGATTGCAAGTTAAGTGCTAAAAGAAACGGATTTAGGTAGCCAACACACTTACTAGGAATCAAATGCACAGGTTCCCAGCAGTTGAGAGAGTCTGCTAGCATTCCAGGACACAAAGATATGAAATAGATCTTTAAAGCAAGGTAAAGTGTCAGAGTAGAGTAGCTGTTTGATTAAGGGTAGAAGATGGGATCATTCCAAATATCATCAAAGTCTGAGTTTGTAGATCCATCAGAAGTGAGGTTTGCTGATGCTCA